ATAGTAGTCGAGGGAGATAGCTCATCGAAAGATGATGCATCAGAAGGATTCACAAGATGTGACGACTAGTTTAGTAAAGAAGAGGACGAGGATGAATCACCTGGGAAGCCATAGGGGATGAACCGGAGTCATCATAGAACACACAAATAGGTGTAGAGAACTGAGTGTGAACCATGGCAACAAAAGTCTTATAAGACCTCACTACAAGAAGAAATAAAGTATATCCAGGTGTCTAGAGAGAAGTTACTACCGGAGACAAAGGGAGATGGACCCCTGAGATCATATTGAACAAGGTCGGAAGGACAATGAGACACTGTCTCGCTATGAGTATAAGGTAATTGGACCGTGGATTAGAGACATCATCAGAGAGGGATCGAAGAAGACCACGTCGAACTAAGGATGGGAGATAACAAGTGATCCAAGGGGATGATGCCAATCCTGAAAATAACTGGTAGACAAGGCAATAGAGGCAAAGACTGGCGATGGTGGAAACAGAGGGACTTGATCCAGCATCCCACGTGCCTATGCACTCTTCGTACCCCATCGATCCGGCTTGGCGTTCTTTTCCTGTTTACGGGTTGTGGGTCACGCACTTGATTAAGCACCCCAGGTTCTCCTACTGCGCCCTTGGCCTCGACTTTAGGTAGCGCCTGTCCTCGGCTCGCCCCGTGCATAAACCAGGTACGCGTCGACTGTCCGAGCTCCTGCTCACCATTGGTGTGGTGCTCGAGCGTGCGGTTATGGTGTCGCACATAAAGGGAACACGGGATGTGGGATTGAGACAGTACTCATAGCAGCCTGCAGCAAGGCAAAGAATGCCCATCAAGACTGGCAGCGAGCAAAGGTGGGCACAAAGGTGGACGTTGACTCGGAGTCTCAACAGTGCGCTCATCAGTAAGAGCAACACGAGCAAGAAGATTTTGGATATACTTCTCTTAGGAAATAAGGAACAATCTCAAGTAGCGAAGATGACCAAGATTCAGTAGTGACCTTATCACTAAGAGCAGCACGAGCAAGAATATCCTAAATGTACTTCTCTTGGGAAATAAAGAAGCCATCAGAGGTTGAAGAAACCTCAGTTCGAAGTAGTGAAAGGGACCAAGATCAGACATTAAATCTATTCACTAAGATGAGCCTTCAAAAAGTGCGCCCTACTCAGCAAGGAATCCACACAATAAATGATTGATAAACTCGCAAGCAAAATCTGCATGGAAGACGCATATAGGAATGGAAAATTGGGTACGAAGCATGGCGGCAAAATCTTACTGATAGATAAGACTTCACTAGAATAAAAGCATAAAATATATCCATGTGTATCGAGAGAAATCATCTATAAAGATAATATAACAACGATTTCCTCATTTTGAGGCAAAGGGACCTGGACCCCCAAACATCGAAGTGAACAAGATCAAAAGGACGATGAGACACAATCTCGCTATGAGGATAATGTAACTTAACATGTTTGCTAAGCCGACAAACTGACAGCCTAAAGACACACCGCCAGAGACAGATCCAAGAAGACCACGTCGGACTAAGGATGAGAGATTAGAGTCACACAAGTGACCAAGACGATGATTCCAAAAGAGTCGGTAAACAAAGTAACCGAGGCAGAGAGACTGGCGGCGGTGGCAGCAAAGGGAAGGTTAAGCTAGATAAGCACCCAGAGGACCTGGAATTACAACATCGAGGGCCAACACCAAGTAGAGCATCCGTGTGAGGATTCTAATCAGAACATGAACATGAGAATCTGGAGGTCGAATGGCTGACAAACTGGAATAATCGTAAGTTAATATGAAAATACATGGAGATGTACCTGGTTGTGTAAAAAGTGGTCACTCGGTACAAGAAAAATTAGTAGCAAAACCTGTTGATGTTGAACCAAAAGAAGCCGCTAGTAGATACTAAAGTCGCCTAAACCTCGGTGTAGTCAGGGTCTCAACTGAAGAGGTTGACAAAGAAGTACTGGGCAATGAAACTAGAAGTAGGAAGTAGGTGTTTTGTTAAAACATCGAAAACCCAAATGTATTTCTCGTTCTTCTTGTTTGGCTTCATTTGGTTTTTGATCTCTTTCTTTTGTGTTCTTGTTGGTTATTTTCCTTCTTATTGTTTCTTTTGTTTATTTGCTTGCTTTTACAAGAAACCACAAAACATTTCTTTCTCCCTTTTTTCTTTTGAAGTTCTTTGAGAAAACAACAAAAATATTTCTTCATTCTTTTTGCTTTTTCTTTGGAAGTTTATCTGATTGCCTCTTTGTTGAAACTTTGGAAATCTTGTATCTTTGCTTGTCTCTTTGCGTTATTGTTTTCCTTCTTTGAGAAAACCAAAAAAATCCAAAAATACTTAAGTGGTGTTTCTCTCAGTTCTTTGCCTTTTATATTTCAAAAAATCCAAAAATATTTCCCTTTCACTTTTCCTTGTTTTCCTTCGTTTGCTTTTGATTGTTCTTATTGGCTTTTCTCGCTGTTTCTTTTTGTTGCTCCTTTCGTCTTTGTGCTTAAGTTGCAAAACCCAAAAATTCCAAAAAGATTTCTTGTTTGCATCTTATTGAGTCTCGAGTGTTCAGAGTGTTCTTTTTTCTTCCTATTTTTTTCTTTTGTATGTTTTTTTGTTGTTTTCTAGAAACCCCAAAAGATATCATTGTGCTTTTGTTCTTTTGATGTTCGTTGAGAAAACAACAAAGATATTTCCTCGTTCGTTTTGCTTTTTCTTTGGAAGTGTATTTTATTGCCTCTTTGTTGAAACTTTGAAAATATTTTATCTTTGCTTGTCTTTACATTCTTGTTCGCCTTCTTCGAGAAAAACAAAAATTCCAAAAATATTTTTGTTGTGTTTCTTTAAGTTCTTTGCCTTTTATCTTTTCAAAAATCTAAAAACATTTCTCTTTCGTTGTTCATTTATTTTCCTTGTTTTCTTTTGCTTGTTCTTTTTGGCTTTTCTTTGCTGTTTTCCTTTCATTGTTTCTTTTATCTTTGTGTTTAAGTTGCAAAACCCAAAAATTCCAAAAAGATTTGTCTTTTGCTCTTATTGAGTGTCAACTATTTGAGGTGTTCTTTTGTTTTTTTCTTCCTATTTTTCTTTTGGATGTTTGTTGTTTGCTTTTAATAGTAACCCCAAAAGATTTATTTGTCCTTTTGTTCTTTCGAAGTTCTTTGAGAAAACAAAAAAATATTTTCTCGTTCGTTTTGCTTTTTCTTTGAAAGTTTATTTGATTGCCTCTTTGTTGAAACTTTGAAAAAATATTTTATCTTTGCTTCTCTTTAGCTCTTGTTTACCTTATTTGAAAAAATAACAAAAGTTCCAAAAATGTTTCTGTTGTGTTTCTTTAAGTTAGTTTTGGGCTTTTATGTTTCCAAAATTCCAAAAAATATTTCTCTTTTGGTGTTCTTTTGTTTTCTTTTGGTTGTTCTTTTTGGCTTTTCTTTGCTGTTTTCTTTTTGTCGTTTATTTCATCTCTGTGTTTAAGTTGCAAAACCCGAAAACTCCAAAAGATTTCTCGTTTGTGTCTTATTGAGTTTCAATTGTTTGAAGTGTTCTTTTTGATTTATTTTTCTTCCTATTTTTTCTTTTATTTGTTGTTGTTTGCTTTTAAAATAAACCCTAAAATATTTCTTTGTCCTTTTGTTCTTTTGAAGTTCTTTGAGAAAACAACAAAAATATTTCGTCGTTCGTTTTGCTTTTTCTTTGGAAGTTTATTTCATTGGCTATTTGTTGAAACTTTGAAAATATTTTATCTTTGCTTCGCTTCACGTTCTTGTTTGCCTTTGAGAAAAACAAAAATTCCAAAAAATATTTCTATTGTGAGCGGAATTTGGTTTGACCCTAGGTCTCTTAGGGTGTTTATGTGGGCTCGCAGCTCGTCGTTGCTGAGCTCTCGTGTCGTTGCTTGAGTCGGATCTTAAGGCCTCATGTATCTTTAAGACTTGCTCCCCGGTCAACCACCTCGTTCGATCAGGCTCTCCACTACGTCGATTAGCCCCCGAGCGTTGCTGGATGTCTTCTTCATCGGCTTCCAAGATCTCTCAGACTCTTGGGTGGCTCATTGATGAAGGGCGGCAGATGTCCCATGAGCCCCGAAGCATAGAACCAACCCTTATGCCAGTTGTAGACTGACTTCGCCAAAGCAATCTTGAAGTAGTCTGATTCAAGCCGGAGCTGGAGGTTGGTGCCTTCAAGGTCGCGGATATCATCGCCATTCTTCTGGACCTTCACCAGGAAGTAGTATCAAAACAACTCGAAGTTTGGTTTCGTCCCAAGGAAGCATTCACAAAGGGTGATGAAGTTGGCGATGTGGAGAATGGCATTGGGTGTCAAATGATGCAACTGACACCCGTAGGAGAACAAAAGCCTGCACACAAAGCTGTCTAGCGGGAAAGCCAAACCTCGACAAAAGAACTGCTGGTGCAACACTCGCTTGTGCCGGCTGGTGCCAGGATGGCCACGGACCCCGCCGTCCTCCATTGAAGTACCTCCCAGGGCAGCAGAAAGTCGTCTTGAACTAACGCAGTGGAGAACCACTTGCCTGTGGTCTCGCCCGCCTCCTCGCTGGCGGAAGCGTTGTCCTTCCGCTTGTTAGCGGTGGTGGCCCTGGGAACGATCCGGCCACGACCTCGACCGCGGTCTCCCTCGCCTCGCACCATTAGCGGCTCGCTTGGGTGGATAAGGAAAGAAAGGGAGGGCTCGAGGAGCAATAGGTTGCGACAATGGCGGTTCCGACAGGGGAGGGAGAAGCCGTAGAGGGTTCCGCGAGAGGAACAGAGGAAGTGGGGGAAACCCACTGAGAAACCCAAGCAACGGCTTCGATAGGTCGACATGTGCCCAATTTCCTTCACGGTTTCCCACTACGCAGGATGTGGGCGTGGAGATCCATGCATTATCATCATGATGCAGTTGTCAAAGCGAAACCGACTGGCCATCTCCCTATCTTTCGACAGTGATGGCGGGATGTGACAAAGCGAGTGGCAGTGATTTGAAGAAGACTTGCCACCGGAGGCCGTGCAGCCATGAAGCTGCGAAGACGCGACGCCGAAGGCCATGCGGCCGTGAAGCCGCAACATTGCAAAGACGTAGGCCGCGAAGCCGTCAAGGTGAAAGATGCAAAGCCGCTAGATTGCGGCACCACAAAATCAGGAGCTACGAAGCCACATAGATGCGTCGCTGGGGGCTGCGTGATAGCCAAGTACATAGATTTCGAGGTCAGGCTACCGAGAGCTAGACTGTCTCCATCACCGAAAAAGAGCCTGCCTGGATTTCGTTCTCAAGGCAGCAAGACTCCACAACTCCAGACAAGCTCGGCCGCTACTGATGGTACAATATACCTAGGGTGGCCCGTCCACCGGGAAGCTCGAGACTTGGCTGGCTTCAGGGCCCAAGAGGCCTAGCAGCATCCTTACCCAGCGATCAGTCCAGGGGTCTAGGCTTGGAGATAAAATTTATCCTTGGCATGCAAGCCAAGAAGCTCTCATAGTGAGGTTAGTTAGGATCCCTATCAACCCTAGCTCTCATCCCCTTTATAAGGCGAGGCTAGGGGTAGTTCGAGGCATCTGTTCCATTGCTCAGACCTTGGTAGCATTCATCATCCTCCACTTGTAACCCCCTCGCACGAGGTACTCCCACATCAATCCAAAACAAATCAGGAGTAGGGTATTACCTCAATCATGAGGCCCTGAACCTGGGTAAAAGCCCCGTACGAACTCCCTTTACTTCCGACTACGGTTTGCACCCTAACTGGGTCACTGACGGTTTTCTGCACCATCACTGGTACTCTGGTAATGAGTTGGAATATGTTTAAATCAATTGGTTTGCGATCTCTCTCTCTAGGTTCGGTCCATTATATGTACCCTTGAACCACGTGTTGGTCTTCTGCGCCTATCGGTTGCATGATATATTTAGGAGGTTTGGTCTTGTGGGCAAACCTTTGCTCTTTAACTGAGTCAGGTTAGTGCCTTTTCGGTGGTTTGTTCGATTCATTTGTGTTGGCCTCCATGCGTTGGTTGCACGACTGAATCTGGTATATGGATATAGTAAAAAAATTGGTATGTGGAGATCATGTCGAAGGGGGTTTGAGGAAGGTCTGATTTGAGTTCATGAGTTCCATCATTCATCATTTAATAGGAGGTGGATTCAGTGTCCTGATTGATTCTTATTGTAGCAGTTGATCTTGATTTTGGTATGTGTGTATGTTCTCCTTTAGTTGTAGTAGAAGCAGGAGGGTAGTAGTTCTGCAGAGATGAATCAAAGGCTGGAGAGGTTTGGTTTCTGTTCATGGCTGATTTGATTCGTTACGGGTTATTTTCATTTGGTCAGATCTTCTCGAATGTGGTGTTGAACTACTCATCAACCTAGAACTTTGTGATTGTTTGGATGATATAATCCCTTCTCGATTCAGCTTCTTCATTTTCACATTACTCCCTCTGTAAACTAATATAAGAGCGTTTAGAATACTAAATTAGTGATCTAAATGCTCTTATATTGTTTACAGAGGGAGTACAATTTAGTCCATGATTTATTCTCACTTGGATTGTTGGTGGCTCCAGAAATTGGGATTATATTATTTGCTGCATGGCCATCATCTTTTTGGTTCGGTTTTGGTGTGGACCAGCTGGTTATTGGGTGAACAAATTTCACAAGGAGTAACATTTTTCACTCAACCTTGATATAAGAAGTGTTTGTTTCATACTACTGTCCTATTTCGTTTAGATAATTCAGTTCTCTGTTTGTAAAGCGTCCCTAAAGCGTCGCTTAAGTGTCAGAGCGCCCTCCAGGCTTAAGGCGTCCAACTCGCCTTAGGCAGGTGTCTAAGGCGTCTGCCTTAGACATTAGAGCGTCTGAAGCGCCCGCTTAGACTTTAAGCGGTCTGTGTTCAAAGCTAGTTAAAACTATGGAACTTAAATATGCAAATCAGTTGATAAATCTCTTTCAAACCTTAAAAGGGCAACCTGGTGCATGTAGCTCCCGCTTGCGCAGGGTCCAGGGAAGGGTCCGACCACTTTGGGTCTATATTACGCAGCCTTTCCCTACATTTCTGTAAGAGGCTGTTTCCAGGACTTGAACCCATGACCTCATGGTCACAAGGCAGCAGCTTTACCACTGCGCCAAGGCTCCCCTTCAATCTCTTTCAAACCTTACCTGAGAAAATTGTGATTTCTGTTTGGTTTAGCCTGTGAACAAAATTCAGGTTCCTACAATTTTAAATTAATCTAGTTTCTGCATGTGAGCTGTATTGTTTTCAGGTTTTGTACATGACTTGTATTATTTGTCCTGTTATTTTTTATGTTGGAAAGTCTGAGATTTAGATTGTTGATCTGCCTCCTACAGATCTCTTTGTCATGAAATGTACTGGTGGTCTTTAATCTGCTTTGCACAATGCACAGATGTTGGTGTCCATAGTGCTTACTACATGAACATGATATTTGGAGTCTTACTTTAGTGGAGTGCTAATCTGATCATGCTTGGAAAAGGGATATCATGATAGGTTTTGTTAGCCTGGGGCTTGTCTGAAACTGTTGTAGTCCTGTAAATACAAAAGTAAAAAGTGTTGAATGGGAACAGTAGTAGGTGTCATTGTCATATGGATTTATCAGTCTGTAGTGTACACCTGGTAAAAGATGGTCTGAACTCCGAAGCTAGTAGAAACTACTGGTTCCACATTTCTTTTCTTGATTCAGATAATTCAGTTCGTTCATTTCATAACATTTTGCCGCTAGTACAAACTACTGAACGCACGCCATCGCTGCCACGCCCGTGCTGGCCCGCCTCTTCCGACTTCGGCGGCAGGTCGGCAGCAACCAGCGGAGGTCTGACCACGACAGTAACAACGATGCAAACTGCACAATCTCAGAATGTAAGTCCTGTCTCTCGACTCCCCTCCCGAAATTTTGCATGTTACTTTCTTGATCATGGATTCATAGTGCTGATATCCAAATACAGAGAAGCTCAACAGCAAATATGGTCAATGGGTAATAAGGCTTGTTTTTTGCCTTCCTGTTGGCTGCTGCAGCACATGCGATGAGCTTATTCAGCACGTGAACTTTGAATCACTAAGGCTGATTGGAGTTGAAATGAATTTGAATCAGGAATAGGATATAGTGTAGGCTTAGCCTTAGACCATATATGCACGCAGCTACTGCATTTCTACACGTAGTCCTAACTTTTATTAACCTGTACAGTCCTAACTCCAATATATACTTGGATTCTGTAGAGCAATGGTAACTCGTCTGCCTACTAATTCTGCTCCCGTAACAACGCTTTGCTGTAATTATGCATATCAAGTGCTCCACATACATAGTATTCTGGATGGTAGTATATTTCCGGGACCTTTTTCCCCGATTTATAATGATCTAAAATGGTGTGCATATTAGGTTTTTAAATGGACGAAATGGAATTCTTTTTGGATGGATATAGCATGGCCTACCTGAGAAGGAAGTATTCATGTGCAACAGAAAATGCAGCTTTGTTTGTGCCTTTTGGTTTTGTGGGCTCTTTTGCAGTTGCAGGGACGGAGGCACTAAGCATCTTAGTCTAAAAATGTATCTTGTTTGTGCAATTGCAGGGTAACTATCTGAACGCAGTGCATATTTTAGGTCAAATATCACCCGTATGATATAGATAATGGCTTCATTGGAAAAACATTGTAACCCTGTATATGATCTATTTATATCCTGCATGTTCTAATATTAACAGTTTTGAGTCGGTGCAGATTAGTTCATAAGACGCAGTATGCATTAGTGTTATCTTGGAAGAATGTGAAATTGTTATGCTTTGTACTGCAGGCCCTAGTTGCTGCTCTTTGGAAAATAACCTTAATGCTCAATTGAAGTCCTTAAAGTTACTGGTTGCCATCTGTAATGTTAAAGATAATAAATAAAAGTTGGGCGTGCTATTAGAGCTTCATCCACTTGGAAAGACATCTGAAACACAGAGTCCGTCAAATAGTATAGCACCTGTTTAAGGCTAGTTGTGCGCAAGGCATTTTACTTCGGTGAGATTACATGGGTTAGAATCTGGCACATACAGTTTGCCCTTCTGTTCTTGCATCAACTAGCAGCTCTTGCAACACCACACATTTTGATCATTGTTTCACGTCTACTTTTACTCCTTTTAAGTTTTGAAAAAATCATGGTTCAATTAGTTTTAAGTCAGGAATCTATGAAACACTTAGACATTAATTTAAAGGCTGATTACGCAAGACGCTACTCCTTTAAAGACTGGGAGCCGTATGCATACTGGAGCACTGCTAACATGTGTTTTGATGATGTTCATCACTAAACATTTGACTTTGCAGGCTTGTGGTCAGCTTGACTAGTTTCAAACAATGGCGGAATGCTTGGCTTCGATATTTGGTACAGAGAAAGGCAGTGTCAACTGTCCATTTTTTTACTTCAAGATTGGAGCATGTCATCATGGCGATCGCCTCTCAAGCATCCATAACAGGCCAACCATGAACATGTATCAGCGCTCTGATATGATTACCTCTGGTCACATGATCCTTGGAAATTAAGCATCTCTTCGCCTTTATATATACTTGTTTGCATTAATATCTTTCCTCTGTACATGTGACCTTGAAGGAATATTTGGGACGAAGTTTTCTAAGTTTTGCTGCACAGAGGAACATATGCCATTTGTTTAGAAGTACAAGGAATCAGGAGTATGCTTGGAAGTAAGTTCCCCATCATGGATTTGATCCTTGGGAATTAAGCATCTCATCGCATTATGCTTGTTTGCATTTATATATTTCATCTGTACTTTATACATATGTATACAGGTGACCTCAAAGGAATGCTTTGAAACTAAGTTTGCAAAGTTTGTTGCTCAGAGGAGAGGAGCACTGATCTTAAGTTCTTAACAAAATCATTTGCTATGGTGCAACACAATTCTTAGGCAGGTGTGCCTCAATTTTTCGTAGTGAGCTAATTTGTTATAGAAGTGCATATGTAAATCTCGTATGTCCATTCTGAATTTCTTGTTTGATCTTTAATGTGATATTGGTGCGCTATGTCATCTGGTATACACAGAAATCTTGGGTACTCTTTGGGTATTTGATAGATATTTGTACTTGTGACCCTTCTTGTACTTCTAAACTAGCAAAACAAATTAGCTTTAATTAACTGTTTTGTCGTATGATGCTCCATTGCAGAGTCGAGCATAATGTTAACACTATCTGCTTCCATATTATGATCATAGGAGAGAGATTAATAAGAATATAAACAATGTCCATGGTGTTGTAACATAAACCACACTGATCTGACATTGTTTAGTTAAGCTCACATACATACTGACGTGCATATATATACATGATTGAGGGAAGCACACTGTTAATTCTAAAGATACCGACGCTGATGCAACTATGGAATGATTTGGAACTACAACTACTGGTGCTCCTAGGCTTCACGCTACAGATTTTCATCTTCTTTTCTGGTGGCCTCCGGTGGTGCAGCACCAACTCAAGACTGAGGCTTCTGATTTTGTTAGCTTACTTGCTATCTGACATGGTCGCAGTCTACGCTCTTGGCCAGCTTTCACTGCATAAAAGTGATGTGCCTGGAGCTAGAGGGATGCACCGGCTCTCGTCTTTCTCGACGCCTTTCTCCATTGAGGACAATGAGTTTGAGGCACATGCTCAATCTACTGGCCCAAGTTGGCTTGGCCTTGTACGTGTCTTGGAAGTCATCAGCACACAGCCAGTTTCTGATCCCAGCCATATTTGTCTGTGTGGATGGAATCATCAAGTACGTGGAGAGGCCATGGGCTCTCAAGTGCCCAAGCCGAAATGCCCTTAGGGATGATGATTCTACTTATGTGAAAGCATGTCAATTTCCTGATCTAGAAGGCAAGCCGGGATTGGACTATCTGACAGTTGTGAAGTATGTTTATCTAGCGCACCAGGTGTCAGAAATCTATTTATTGGTCGCAAGCTTGCTAAAATGAGGTAACATACAGAGAATATTTAGAGCAACTCTAGCAGACCCCGCATCCGGTCGGCCCGCAAAACGCGTTTGCAGTTCATGGAGAACCGCTTTTGCGGGCTGGCTCGGAAGGCCGCACATGTAGACCCCTCAAACGGACCCGTATAAAAGTATATTCACGGAATATACTTTTTTACGGGTCGGCTTTTGCGGGGTCTGCTCGGACACCGCCGCGACGACCCGCAAACAGAAAACACCCAATTCTCGCATTTGACATAGGTTTCCACAAATAAGTTCAAATTCAAACAACATAACACAGTTTTACGCGCAAATAAAAGTCAAGTTCAGTACGACAAACGCAAGAGGGCCATGCAAAAGTTTACGCTCATGTCCGGCATCATCTTGGTCGATCTTCACTCCGCGCCATCGAGTCCATCTTGAAGTTCATCGCCACCACCGAATCCACCCTGGCGCTTGTTCCAACTCCCGCTGTCGGTGTCAAAACCGGCCGATCTCGGGTAGGGGGTCCCGAACTGTGTGTCTGAGGATCGAAGGTAACAGGAGACAGGGGACACAATGTTTACCCAGGTTCGGCCCTCTTAATGGAGGTAACTACCCTACTTCCTGCTTGATTGACTTTGATGAGTATAAGGGCTACAAGAGTTGATCTACCTCGAGATCGTAATGGCTAAACCCTAGATGTCTAGCCTATATGATTTGTCTTAGCCTCTACAGACTAAACCCTCAGGTTTATATAGACACTGGAGGGGCCTAGGGTTGTACAGAGTCGGTTTACAGAGAAAGAAAACTTCTTATCTGAACGCCAAGCTTGCCATCCACGCAAAGGAGAGTCCCATCCGGACATGGGGGAAGGCCTCCTATCTTGTATCTTCATGGCCCGTCAATCCGGGCCATGTCACAAAACCCGGACGCCCGGAGACCCCCTAATCCAGGACTCCCTCGGTAGCCCCTGAACCAAGCTTCAATGATGATGTGTCCGGCTCGCAGATTGTCTTCGACATTGCAAGGCGGGTTCCTCCTCCGAATACTTCAAAGCAGTTAGACAAGATAACTGAATCCGGCTCTGTATAATAGTTACAACCCCCAACCATAGGGATAAAATACTTAAACAAAATAAGTCATGTCCACTGACAGCTTTTTCGGCGAGACGTTATGCATGGCCTTATTATTATTTTGTGGCCTCCCACCTCGCACTTCGAGGCGCAGCCTCTATTGACATGTCTTGTCAAAGCAGAGATTGTGTCCCCTTGTTGCGGGATTCTCATCAATACGGGTTTGGTTAATCCAACCGCGTCGTCCGCATGACCCCTTGGGAATAAGCGAGTTTTAAGGCTTGTGAGGGAGCGCTTGATATTCATTGCCTTTATAAGAGGGTAAGGAACCATCTTTTTACCCCACATCTTCTTCTTCCTCAGCCTTCCCATCCTCGAGCTCTTGCGCCCAAGCTTCAGTCTTTTCCCTCACCACGAAACATTCTAGCCATGTTCAGATCCGACTCTCAAGGCAAGTGGGTGGCCTCCTCCGCGACGGAGAAGGACATCAAGGAGCTCCGGGAGGCGAGGTACTTGACAGAAGAAATCAAACACAGTCTCCCTGCCAAAGAGCAGGTTATCCCCACTCCAAAGCCCGGTGAGAGGGTTGTGTTCATCCCTCACTTCCTCCGCGGACTAGGTGAAAGTGCAACTATCCCTAGGTGGTTTTGGTAATTCATAATAACATATAGCTCATTGAGCTAATGATATTCCAAGATGACTATTTCAGGAAAGCTCAATGATTGGCATGGCATGGATGTGAAAGTGGAACCCTCAAAATGCTAAGGACAAAGGATTGGCTCAAGCTCAAAAGCTCAAGACTCTTCATTTTATATTTTAGTGATCCAAGATCACATTGAGTCTTTAGGAAAAGCCAATACTATCAAGGAGGGATAAGGTGTTGCTTAATGAGCCTCTTGCTTCATGTGCTTAGTGATATGCTCCAAAACCCTCAACTACTTTCCCATATCCACATATGACCTAAACCCTAAGCCAAACTCGGTCCTACCGATTCTTTCTATCCGGCGCCACCGAGTTTCACTTGTCATAAGCCA